GCCTAACACCCTCAAGGTCCATCCATGTTGTTTCAAATGCCAAGATTTCATCTTTTTATGGCTGAGTAGTATTCCATTGTATATTTATATAGCACAAATTCTTTATGCATTCATTCAAAAATGGGCAGTTAGCTTGTTTCCAAGCCTTGGTTATTGCGAATAATGCTGAAATAAACATAAGAGCTCATATATCTTTTTGAATTAGTGTTTTTGTGTTCTTTGGATAAATACCGAGAAGTAGAATCACTGGATCATATGGTAGATTTATTTTTAATTTTTTTGAGAAATCTCCATACTGTATTCCATAGTGGCTGCACCAATTTACATTCCAACCAGCAGAGTATGAAGGTTCCCTTTGCTCCATATCCTCTTCAACGTTTGTTATTTCTTTTTTTTTTATTGCAGTAACATTGGATTATAACATTATATAGCTTTCAGGTGTACATCGTAATATATTTCTAATTCTGTGTAGATTACATCATGTTCACCACCCAAAAACTAATTATAGTTCATTTCCACACGTGTGAGCCTAATCCTCCCTTTTGCCCTCCCCCCTCCCCTCTTCCCCTAGGGTAACCACCAATCCAATCTCTGTTGCTATGTGTCTGTTTGTGGTTGTTTTTATCTTCTGAGTGAGATCATATGGTATTTGACTTTCTCCCTCTGACTTATTTCACTTAGCATAATAGCCTCAAGGTCCATACATGTTGTGAAAAATGGTTGGATTTCATCATTTCTTATGGCTGAGTAGTATTCCGTTATGTATATATACCACATCTTCTCTATCCATTCGTCCTTTCATGGGCACCTAGGTTGCTTCCAAGTCTTGGCTATTGTGAATAATGCTGCAACGAACATAGGGGGTGCATGTATCTTTAGGTTTTTGTGTTTTCAAGTTCTTTGGATAAATCCCCAGCAGTGGAATAGCTGGATCGCATGGTAGATCTATTCTTAATTTTCTGAGGATGCTCCATACTGCTTTCCATAGTGGCTGCACCAGGTTGCACTGCCACCAGCAGTGAACAAGGGTTCCCTTCTCTCCACACCCTCTCTAACATTTGTTGTTTCCTGTCTTGTTAATTATAGCCATTCTGACCGGAGTGAGGTGATACTTCATTGTAGTTTTGATTTGCATTTCCCTGATAGCTAATGATGTTGAGCATCTTTTCATATGCCTGTTGGCCATCTGTATATCTTCTTTGGAGAAATCTCTGTTCAAATCTTTTGTCCATATTTTAATTGGGTTGTCGTTTTTTTTGTTGTTGAGATGTATGAGTTCTTTGTATATTTTGGTTATTAACCCCTTATCTGATCTATGCTTTGCAAATATCTTCTCCCAATTGTTAGGGTGTCTTTTTGTTTTGTTGATGATTTCCTTTGCTGTGCAGAAACTTTTTAGTTTGATCTAGTCCCATTTGTTCATTTTCTCTATTGGTTCCCTTGCCCGGTCAAACAGGGTATTTGAAAATATGCTGGTAAGACCAATGTCAAAGAGCATACTGCCTATGTTTTCTTCTAGAAGTTTCATGGTTTCTGGTCTTACATTCAAGTCTTGAATCCATTTTGAGTTGATTTTTGTGCATGGTGTAAGGGAATGGTCTACTTTCATTCTTTAGCATGTGGCTGTGCAGTTTTCCAAACACCATTTATTGAAAAGACTCTCCTTTCTCCATTGTATGCTCTTGGCTCCCTTGTCGAATATTAGCTGTCCATAAATGTGTAGGTTTGTTTCTGGACTCTTGATTCTCTTCATTGATCTGTGTGTCTGTTTTTGTGCCAGTAACATGCTATTTTGGTTACTATGGCTTTGTAGTATATTTTGAAATCGGGGAGATGAGTTGAGAGTCTGCCTATGCCGCCATCTTGGCAAGATCTCTCAACATTTGTTATTTCTTGTCTTTTTAAAAATAGCCATCGTGATGGGTGTGATGTGGTACCTCATTGTGGTTTTTGGTTTGCATTTCCCTATTAATTAGTAATGTTCAACATCTTTTCATGTGCATGTTGGCCATCCATATGTCTTCTTTGGAAAAATGTCTATTCAGATTTTCTGCCCATTTTTTTACTAGAGTTGTTTGTTTTTTTGTTCTTGAGTTGTATGTGTTCTTTATGTAGTTTTAAATTACATTTTTAACTATTTTCTTAATCTTTGTCTACAGCACACAACATGCATTTTAATGATCAAAATCACCCTCAGATTCATACTGACTTAATTCCAGTAAGATATAGAAACTTTACTCCTATATAGCTCTATTCTCTTCTCTCCCTTTTGTGCTAGTATTGTTATACATATAACATCTATATATATTATAGATCCAACAATACATTGTTTTAATCATTACTTTATATAATCTTATGTCTTTTAAAGAAGCTATGAGAAAAGAGGATAACACCAATATAGAGGTGTTTTTATATGCATATTAACCATATTTACCATTTTGGTTTTCTTTCTGTGGAATTAGTTTACCATCTAATGTCATGTCTTAATCCAATTTAGCTGTATGCCCTTAGGACAACTTACAGAAACTTTCAATTACTTTTAAAATAATTTTTTTCAGTTAAATTGCAGTTTTGTTGGGGCGAGCTCTGCCATGCTCCTCAGTCTACCATTGCAAAAGCACAGCATGATTGTCTTTCATAATAAAATATATCTGATTTCTTCAACAAATTCAAAAGTTTTAACATATTATTTTTTTTGGCCCTAACCTGCTTGGAATGTACATGGAAATACAGTATGCCTTCAAGTCCTCTAACCTATCATGCCATGGGATTTATTGGAAAAATAGATTTCCCTGAAGTTTCATCAAAATCACACAGCCTTAAAAGTAGGTGATCTTCCTAGGTTTATTATTAAAACATCCATACTATGGGGTGGTTAACCTAATGACCCACATTAAAAATGAAAGGACAAAGAAAAGACTTCAATTTCAGAAATTGGTCAAATCATTTAACAGACTGAGATTCTTGAAGACATTGAGTTGTTAATTTTCATTACTACTGGAGTAATTACTTAGCATTACTAATGGATTAATGTAGGGGAAGAGGCAGAGAGGCAGTAATGGGCACCTGTTTCAGCAATTTTATTTCCATTCCCCCACATTTAAGTAAAGCAAAAATGGCTCCAGAAAATATAGACCACCTTTTTTACTTTACCTTTTTCTTCACTCAAATCCCAAGTATTAGATTGTGACTGGGCATGGTGAAGGCTATGCGCCTACACTGAGTTCTCTACTAGGTCCTCTGCCTACATAATTTCACTTAATCTTTACAACAGCCATGAAAAGTAGGTATAATGGTTAAATTTATGTGTCAACTTGGCTAGGCTATAATGCCCAGATATTTGGTCAAACCCCAGTCTTGATATTGCTGTGAAGGTATTCTTTAGATGTGTTTAAGATTTAAGTCATTGGACTTTGAGTAAAGCAGATCACTCTCCACAATGTGGGCAGACCTCATCCAATCAGTTGAAGGCTTTAATATAAAAAGATCTAGGCCCCCTGAGGAAGAACGATTTCTGCTTCCAGACTGCCTTTGGACTCAAGACTGCAACATCAACTCTTGATGGAATTTTCAGCTTACAGGCCTTCAAATTTCAGACTTGCTCGCCCCCACAATCATGTGAAGCAATTCCTTAAAATGTATATGTGTGTTTGTGTGTGTATGTGTACACACACACACACATACATATAGCCCCTGTCGGTACTGTTTCTCTGGAGAACCCTAACTAAATGCAATAAGTATTATTCTCGCCATATTTTTGGTGGAGAAACTGAAGTTATGTAACTTGCCCAAGGTCACATAGTTGGGAAATGGCAGTTACCTAAGTCCCAGTAACTTCAAAATCTGTGGTTTTCCCTCTCATTTCATCAACTCTAAATGTTGGCATGAAAGAAACCACCCTTTTCTTCCCCTTTCTACTCCTAGGCCCCATATGTAAAATAAATACATTTCTGAAAAATTGACTATAAAGTCAAATGAGGCTCAGACACTTATTTACTTAGAATTTAGATCCTGGTCTTATTGAATGTTGCTGTTGCTATGGCCACAGAAAGTCTGCACTGAAATGGAATTTTGAGAAAAATATATGCAAGCGATTTAGAAAAACAGAGAAGGAAAAGTACAGATTTTACCTCAATTATTTAGCTTGTTTAATTTTAATCTGGCTTTTTGCTCGCAAACATTTTTATTCTTGTGCTGACTTTATCAACCTAGTCAGGGGAAGAAATCAAATGAAGTTTTGGATTGACAGCTTCTGGCCTGGCTTGAATTGGTTATCAGTCAAAACAATCAAAATGGTTTGTTCATGTAGATGGAGTTTGGGAGAAATTATGGATAATTCCATTTCTTTTCACTTTGCTTCATGATATATAGAGGAAGTATATGCAGACCAAATATGATTTTAACTACTTCTAAGGAGTAAAATATTAAGTGAAAACATTGGGGAAGACTGTATATTAAATTAATAATAACTAGCTTGGAGTGGAGATCAGAAAAAAACACAATTAAGCACCTGGTACAGTGACTGACACCTCAGCAAGTGGTACATTGTCTATATAGCTAATGACTAACGAATAGCCCTTCCATCTTCATTTTACACTTTTTGTTCCCTACAATTTATTTGATATGCTCTGAGGAGATCAAAAAAGGAAAACGTGTTCTAGGTCATCAAGGAACTCTGTCTTAAAAATCTTATTCTCTACATTTTTGTAATGTCTAAATTTTAAAGTGGTACTGTGAGTAGTAATTATAATTAATCATTCATTTTACCCATATTTTTAATCACATACTATATAGCTGGCACTTTTTTTTAAAAGGATGTTTTTATTTTATTCCCTCTTTTCTAATTTTTCTTTTAATTTTTTTATTGAGATATAATTGACATGTAATGTTGTATACGTTTAAGGTGTACACATGTTGATTTGATACACCTATACACTGCAATATGATTACCACCATAGCATTAGCCAACACTTCTATCAGGTCACATAATTATTTAATTTAAAAATATGGAACACTTCACGAATTTGCGTGTCTTCCTTGTGCAAGGACCATGCCAATCTTTGTATTGTTTCAATTTTAATATATGTGCTGCCAAAGTGAGCACTAGCAGGTACTTTTTTAGGGGTGAGAATACTACCATGAACAAGACATTGTCTCTACTTTCAAGAAAGTAATAATTTAGTGTGGATGGTGGACAAATTACTAGGCATTTCTATTAGAGAAAGGTAAGTAAATGGTGCTAAGAGAGGATTTAGGATAGATACCTCATTATGTGTTAGTGGATATAGGAGGTGATCAGGCATAATTTCCTAGAGGAAGTGATATACAGTAGTTCCCCCTTATCCGTGGTTTCACTTTCCGTGGTTTCAGTTACCTGCAGTCAACCACAGACCGAAAATATTAAATGGAAAATTCCAGAAATAAACTATTCATAAGTTTTAAATTACCCACTGTTCTGAGTAGCATGATGACATCTCATGCCGTCACATTCCATCCCAGCAGGGACATGAATCATCCCTTTGTCCAGCGTATCCATGCCACATACCCTACCCACACGTTAGTCACTTAGCAGCTTTCTCGGTTATCAGATTGTCGACTGTCGTGGTATCACAGTGCTTGTGTTCAAGTAACCCTTATTTTACTTAATACTAGCCCCAAAGCACAAGTGTAGCTATGCTGGAAATTCAGATATGCCAAAGACAAGCTGGAAAGTTCTTCTTTTAAGCGAAAACGTGAAAGTTATTGATTTAAGGAAAGAAAAAAATCATATGCTAAGGTGGCTGAGATCTATGGTAACTTTTACTAGAGTATATTGTTATAATTGTTCTATTTTATTATTGGTTATTCTTGTTAATCTCTTACTGTGTCTAATTTATAAATTAAACTTTATCGTAGGTATGTGTGTATAGAAAAAAATGTAGTATATATAGAGTTTGGTACTATCTGTGGTTTCACGCATCCACTGGGGGTCTTGGAACATATCCTCTGCAGGTAAGGGGGATTGCTGTATAAACTAAGACAAAAATGCTAAGGAAGAGTTAGCCGGGTAAAGAAAGGGAGTGAAGCAGCATGTTCCTGGTCTTGGATGCAAGAGATATCATGGAACATTGAAGAAACTACCAGTACTTCAGCATGGGTAAAGTACAGAGTGTGTGTGGTCAGCACATATATTACTAATGTGGGAGTGCCTGTGATCAGATAAGAAGCTGAAGTAGACAAGTCTTTAATATATTTTTATTCTTCTTTAAAACTTTCCCTACTACCATTATTTTGCAGTTTGCTTTTGTGGTGAGCGGTCCACGTCATTTTTTTCCACTTTTTAAATTTAAATTAATTAATAGACTACTTTTTAGATCAGTTTAAGGTTAAAGAAAAATTAGGCAGAAAGTACAGTTCCCATATACTACTTTCCCTATTATTAACATCTTGCATTAGTGTAGTAGTACATTTGTTATGATTAATGAAATGATATTGATAAATTATTAAAGTCCATAGTTTACATTAGGCTTCACTCTTTGTGTTTTACAGTTCTATGGGTTTGACAAATGCATAATGTTATGTATCCACCATTACAATATTATACATAATAGTTTCACTGCCCTAAAAATCCCGTGTGTTCCACCTATTCATCCCTCCCTCCCTGCCCCATTCACATCCCTTGATTGTCAGTCTCTGCTCAGCAATGTATTGCATTTTGTCATTTAGTCATGTGCTTTACATATTACTTGACGTGCTCTTGTTTTTTTTTTTGTTTGTTTGTTTTAAAGCATGTTACGTTGCTTTAGAAAGGCACTAACAATCATCAGATTTGGCACAAGAGTTAAAACTTATTTGCTACTTTAATCTAGTCTAAACCAACCTCATTTCACCAAACAGGAAACCGAAAGCCAAAAAAATTAAATGTTTACCCTAGAACACAAAGCTGATAACTTGAAAAGCAAGAATAAGTTGAGTCTTGGACTTCTTATTCAATCTAGTGATGTTTCTACTCTGCCTCTTTTAAGGTCACCTTGAAAGAGAAGTTTATGAAGTGACAAAAATCATTATAAAGTGCTCACTTGAAGATTTTTTTCAAAAACATACATTTCTGTTTTCAATACTAACCACTTCTGGTTATGAAGCAATCACTAGTTAGTCTTTTTAAAATGTGATTGGTGCAACTTTTTCTTCAAAGAAAATATGATGCAGGGACCCAGTATGGAAGACGCGTAAGTGGAGTTTTTCTGTCTGAAATAGGTATGTGTACTTATGTGTATCTGGGGGAGTGTAAGTTTGGCTCTATTCTCTCTCCCACTCCCTACTGAACATCAAATAACTCTGGGGATCCCCTAAGGCTCTACCAAGAATAATTTGAAAGCCATTGAACTTGAGGAACAAATGTTTCTGCTTAAGGAACTATTAATTTTATATATTCATACTTCTTTAAAATATATTTTCACATCTTAGATACCATATATCTTTTCTGAACACAAAGGCTAATAGACTGATATGTCAGTTATCCCTCAAAATTATGCCTATAAACTGGATATATAGAACAAATTATTATTGCTTCTTGATCTTTCGGCTAAGATTAAGTGTAAAACAAATTATTAGTGACTCATCTTTATAATGTACTTGATTTAATAAGCTGACTTCATATTGAATAATTAAATCAGGCAAATGCTACTAAGAAGACTGTCTCTGTATAAGTATGGTAAGATTATTGAAATATATCTTGGTTATTCATACTTTGGACTGTTACCTTTATTGACCCTTATTCTGTGTTGGATATGTTATATACAGTGCCTCTATTTTTCAAAACTAACAAATCAGTTTCTAATTTCAATATTACGCCCCTGTCATCAAAGGAAGGGAATCAGAACAATTCAAATGTTCTTTAGCCAGTCACACATCCACCCAAACATACCAACACCCACACACACACAGTCTGAAAGAACGAATATATAAAAAAAAGAATGTAAAAGAGCCTTAACTTTAGGTTTGGGTCATCTGTTTCAACTCATTAGAATAATGGCTTTCAAACTTTTTTGGTTATGATCTCTAGTGAAAAATGCCTCTTAAATCATGATAATAAATAAATATATATCTATAGGTATATATATATCTCTATCTACATTTATCTCTCTCTACATTTATATACATGTAATCTATTTCTCAATATATATTTATAATTGGAAAAGAAACATCACAAAACAGTATTTTTTTCCCTTCCCCACTTTCTCTAATGCAGTCAGGAGGAGCTTGCCAGTCTCATTATATTCATGATTTTGACAAAAATGTTCTAAGGCATCAAATACATGCTCACCCAAACCTTGTCTTTTACACGTATTTGATTAGGAGTATCCAATGGTGATATTTTATATTTCTCTATTGACACACAATGCCTTGGACTATCAATGCCATCTTTACCGCTGGAAATAGAGTCATTGATGCTTTTCAATCTGATCATATTAGAGAGACAATTCTGGTGTTAAAGGGGAAAAAAACCATTTGTACATGGTAGGCATTTTCTCTATTTTAAAGGATAAATTATTTTTTAACTGTGGTTGATATGGCTATATCCTTCTACTCTGGTGACCAGGTTCACAAAAGTCTCTCATCCATTTCCTGAACTTGAAGCCTTCTATATCTGCTGGCTCACACTCAGCCACCTTTGATCCTCTCTTGGAGTAGAGTGTGAGACTAAATATACAAACACAAAGGCCAGTCCTTATATAAAAATGTAATTCTAACCCATAACCTGCAACAGCCAGCCCAGGAAGCCAAACCACAACCTCTGCCGCAAGCTATCAGGAAATCAAATAACCTCTGCAGCAATCAATCTAAAACCACCAGGACTTGATCAATAACTGCCAGCTTCTCTAATTTTTGGCCCTGCTTCAAATTTAGGACTAACTGGAGAAAACCAAATATGTCTCTCTAACAGCGCAACATAGGATACCCTGTAAGTTAGACTGCTTCCAACTTCCCCATGCCAGCAGCTTCCAATCAAGGCATACCTGAAGACTTTTTTTCCTATTATAAAGCTATCTCACTCCTTTGCCTACCTTTGAATCTCTGAGAAATGCAAGTGATGGTGGCTGACTCCTTGTTATAGCAATTTGTGAAAAAATAGCCTTTAATTGTTCTCATCTGGTTGGTCTTTGTTCATTTCCACAGGAGCCATGGGAAAGTTTGGGATGCCCTCTCATTCACTACATGTAATGGAGATTTGGGCTTTATGAGGCTGCCCTCAATTCCCATTATCCTTGACCCTCTCTTAAGAACTGCAACTCTGCAGTTGTGGTGCAATGAGAGGCTGCAAGATTTCTCTGGCTAGAGTTTGGAAATAAGAAGCACCAGTTTTTTCTGTTTTCTGATCCCCCTAAAACCAGCTGGGATTTTTTTTTTTTTAAAGATTTTATTTTTTCCTTTTTCTCCCCAAAGCCCCCTGGGTACATAGTTGTGTATTAATTCGTTGTGGGTTCTTCTAGTTGTGGCATGTGGGACGCTGCCTCAGCGTGGTTTGATGAGCAGTGCTATGTCCACGCCCAGGATTCGAACTAATGAAACACTGAGCCGCCTGCAGCGGAGCGCGCGAACTTAACCACTGGGCCCCGGGGCCAGCCCCAACCAGCTGGGATTTTTAAGGACTCTATTCTCCCAATGCTCTGAAGATTTTGACCATAAGAAGGGCCAATCTATGGGACTCATTTTATAGGGAACCACACCACTGACTCAACTTGTTGGGCCTTCTCTCCTTTCAGATCCTTCTCCCTTCTGTCCAAAAAGGGCCTTTTACTTTTCCTATGCAATGGGGCCAAAATCTGGGTTTATTACTTATTAGCTGTATAGCCTTGTGAAAATTATTACTTGGCAACTTATTTTCCTTGTCCGTAGAATGAGGATGATAATAGCACCTACCTCATAGGATTGTGAGGATTAAATGAGATAAATTCATGTAAAGCACTTTAGAACAATGCCTTAAACAGTGAGCACTAAAGAAATGTTGGCAACTATGACTTTCAAGGGAGGCAATAGTTCTAAACTATTAACTAGTGCTCAGATAGAAGTAGGTACTGGGTACCTTCTGGATCATAAAGAAAATCGGTATTTCATTCTATTAGGGGAAAACGTCACAGAAAGCATCCTAGTGGAGTTTTACTTCAACTATCAGTAATTACTTGTCAAGCAGATGGCGGGACTATGTAGGCCTGCAAGTGTGGGAAAAGCTGATACATTTAGGAAACTACAAATGGGTAAGTAAGATTAATGGGGGAGAGAGGCGGATGCAACTAAAAGGTGGGAAAAGAATGATCTACAGAAGCAGGTTTCAGAGAATGAGTATGGAGTTTAGATTTTAACCCATGGATCAACACGTCTCAAAAATTAATTGTCATCTGGAGCTACTCATTTAAAATTCAAATATCTTTGCCTCCACTTTAGAGACCTGGGAGAGGGTTTAGGAATCTGCATATTTGGCCCAATGATTCTGAGGAATGCGGTTTTCCTACACCACACTGTGAGAACTTTCTGCTGCAGGCTATGTAGACTTGATTAAACTTATGTTTTAGAAAGATCTCTCTAATGCTATTGTTCTAAACTTCTTTAGCTGCATTTTAGGATCCTTAAAGAGGTATCCAGACATTATGGTTTTTAAAGTTCCTCAGGTGATTCCAAAGTTCAGTCAAGGTTGAAAAGCACTGATTTAGCAGCAATGTGGAGGGGAGGTATTAGAATAGTAAAACCGGAATTAGTGAGCTAAGATATTATTGCAGTAGTGCAGACAAGAGTGATGAAGATACAAACAAACGCAATAGCTAGAGAGCTGAAGAAGTGTGGGGTAACTGAGATACTAAGACTAGCTCATCTAGGGTTTGGTGATTGATTGCTTATATGGGGGTTAGGGAGTGGGCGATATTAATGATGACTCCCAAGTTTCTGAGTTGGAGTTTGAGTGGATGGATTTACCATTCAACAAGATGGAAACCACAGGAGGAGAAACAGGTTTGAAAGAAGACTACCGTTTTTTTATCAGAAGTGGAGGTCAGGGCCGGCTCCGTGGCCGAGTGGTTAAGTTTGCGTGCCCCGCTGCGGTGGCCCAGGGTTCGTATCCTGGGCGGGGACATGGCACCACTCGTCAGGCCACGTTGAGGCGGCGTCCCACATCCCACAACTAGAAGGACCTGCAACTAAGATATACAACTGCGTACGGG